ATAATCTTGAAAAAAATCATATTTTTTCTGGATTTGTTTCTCCCTTTATTTTGTAATTTTGTATCTATAATTTAACATGGTTTTCTTGATAAATAATATTTTTCTCTACATAAATTTTCTCAACTTCTGCCTACATTTCTATTCATAAGTTCAGCCTTTATTATTCTTTCTGTAAAAAACATTTCTCCTTTATTGGGTTAAGGATGACTGGGTCATTGCAGGTTACTTAACTCCTCACTGGACCCCTCAATATTCAGTAGCTTTTAGAATCATTTAATTGAACAATATTTTTTTTAAATTAACTGTTTAATTAATTTCAATCCAACCGACATTTACCAAGCACTTCTAATATGACATGCATTGAGTTAAATGCTATAGGAATTATACAGAATGCTTTTTTCATTCATTTATGCATTCATTCAATAAACATTTTCTTGAGTACCTACTAAGGACAGATTCTGGATTTGGGATTTGTATTAAAGAAACTGAGTTTGACAAGGTTTCTCTTCTCAAGGCACACAAATAAAAGTGACAAGACAGTGTGGTAATTTTAGTGGATCTAGATATGAAAACAGGCATTAAGGTAGTCTTTAGAAAGGCTGCTTCAACAAACCGTTCTGGGTCGGGAAAAGCTTCACAGCAGAGGAGATGCTTAAAGGTTAAGTAGAGGCTCAGAATCCACTGGAAAAATAAGACCCATATTAGGGTTTGGTTATATTTGGTTGTAAAGGCATTTTTGTGAAAACCAACTTCTAAGTTCCATGTGTTACACTAGACTCCACCTCCTCCCATCCCTAATTGCATGTATGCAACGTTTTTTGTTCTTCTGTTTAGTTTAGGGGCCTTAGAACCAGTAGAAGAACTGAAAATAAGTGTGATATTATAGACTTGCTTTTGAGACTTAATTATTGCATGAATCCATATATTCATAATCCAAAGTAGGAATAATAACATATATACATAAGAATAATCTCACGGTGGTAGGACACATTAGGAAGTCTTTCTCTTTCATTTACTTCTTATAGAACAACTTAGTGCCTGAGTGTCTTAAGCACTGTTACTGATAGCTATTAGCATAAGAATTAGCACTGAATAATTATGTATGGAGAATTTGCAAAGAATTTTTTCTCTCTCTATTCCAAAGTAATCATGCTGTATTTTCCGATTTTATTTAGAACACAAGATCAGGTCTGCCCATAACCAGGTATATAGGAAAGAGTTCCTTTACCATTCTTTGCATCGGCTTTGTCACTTGTTAAATGGGAATACTGCTGCTATTACTAGCAATAACACCGATTGTACCTCACTGTATTGAAGTGAAGAGTAAAATCATTAATCTCTGTGAGAGCATAATACGTATAACTGGTCTCAGATGCAAATACATAATGTACCTTTTGAGTGACCAGATTGCCAGCTCCTTAAGAAAACATGAGTTTAGCTTAATTAATTATTTTTCACCTGTTTCTCCAAATTTTCTGAGGTAGCTTCATGTTTTACTCTCTTCTGTTTACCCCAGAGTGACTGCTGGGAAGTGCTATGTGTTCAGTAAGCACTTTTTGATTGATTTTTAAAAAAGTACTAGTGATATTTTTGCTTAGGATTTCTAAAACCTCTCATTTAATTTCTAGATTATAAGTTCCTTTGATAGAACTCTTATAAATATAACATGAAGAAGTTGCGCATTACCTTTAGGCCAAAGCAATTTACTTTTCAAAAATCTGATTAATTTGAACACAATCAGCCAGGATGTCAGAAGATCTCAGTGGCTCTGATAGATGCTGACAGGTGAGGAAATTAAAATCAGGGAGGGAAGCAATTAAATACTGGCAAACATTACTTTAATGAGACAACCAAATCATTCATAAGCCATGGAATATGTTGTATTCTTGATAAGTATCTTAGGGTGGCAGGTGAGAGAGTGCATTTAAAAATGTTCCTCATATGGGGTTTGATGATGGCAATGGGGGACGTTCCATGTTTGTCATTTAATGCCTTTGGCTTAATCTAATATTTCAATTGCTTTTGGGAACAGATGCTCTAATAATCATGCTTAAGATTATGACATTATTTAATTTAAACAAATCTTAGTATTAAGTAATCCTTTCACCACTATCTTTACCACCATGTAAAACTTACCAAAATACAGAGTCCAGACAAAATAATTATTGGCCTTTTCACAGTAGTTTGGGGATAAGCATGATCAAGACCTGTGAAGAGAAACAGAAAAAATGTATATTTCATACAACTTCTAATTTAAAATATTTGGGAATTATAGTGCTAAGAGCGGGAACCCAGGTCCTCAATTGTCATACAGGTGTTTTCAAGACAACAGTCCCTATTCAGAAAGAACATCTGGGGCAACAGGGCTAAAAATTTACCCTTTTATGTGATTAGTGAGAGTTTTAACAGGTTCTATCATATTTCCCATCTGTGCTATAGTGCTTGTAAAAAGGTGTTAAGAGGCATCTTTACATGGGTCTTAGCGAGTGGTTAGAATTTTTGTTCATAACATTAGAATCATCATCCTAGAATAACGTTGCTTAAAAATTGTCCTAGGGTACAGTGGTTAATTAAAAAGATACCATGGTTTGTGAAAGCTTCTTGAAACAGGTCTCTTTGCTTTTCCATTTCTCATGTCCTTATATTCTTTTCTGCATTTTTCCCCCCCTTATTCCCTATCATTTTCTTTTCCATTCTCTCTCTCTCTTTTTTTTTCCTGGCTTCATTTGTTTTCATCTGTTTTTCCCAAAATACAGTCAAAATGATCAATTATTCTATATTAGTCCTAGCTAGGTTTGGTGAGTCTGGCTTTTGCATAGATTTTAATTAATAGGTTGATGTTTTATAAGTTAGAGTTGATTATACAGGTTTCTTTATTTTTGGTTGTAATTGCTTCTGGGGATGAGAACATTTTTCTTGGGAGAGGATGGGTGGTTTGACAAAGGATGCAGACCTGCCATGTTCTGGATCAGCAGTCATAAAATACACAGAGGCAGCCAAGGATAACTGACTTCATACCAAGATGCTAGAGTGGGATTTGTCAGTTGTCCCAGATGTCTTTATGGGTCTAGTGGAGAAAACTCCATTGCATTAGGAAATACTCAGGAGTTACTGAGGACACATGGTACTCTAATCATGTGAAGACGGCTGGTGAACTTCTTAGCTTGGAAGGCTTCAGCTTTTCTACTGCTTAAGATGCAGACTTACTGATGAAGGTTCCTTCGTGAAAATTTAATGATGCTAACTTCTGTTGTTTCTGTGGCTTGTGTTTTGAGAGCTTGCACAAGGATGTTGCATCTCTGAAACTTCACTGAGGACAGCTGAGAAAGTGTTCATGCTAACCTGCATCAAACATGGTGACACGGCATTAACTCAGTAATGTGTCACCTTCTGGTTAGGCCACAGATGTGAAGTCTTTTCTCCTTTTACTTGTGAGTGAAGTAGGACTCAAGGCTAAATGTGCTTTGGAGCCTTGACAGTTGACTTTTGTGTGATATATAGTCATTTTCCCTTTCCCTCCAACTAGAATACCCCCAAATGGGAGGCTACATTATGTCCTTACTGGTTTTAGTGTCAAGATAGAAGGTTAAATTTTTACCTGTTCCATATTAACCATGTGATCTTTGAAGTTTGGTTTCCTTATTGGTAAAATTAGGGTAAAAAGGTCTCATTGGGGTTATAATGAGGATGATTTGAGATAAAATGCTCATACAATATTTTTCACACTATAAAGATTTTGGTGGCATGTGAAAAGAATTTCTTGTAGGGTATCCTATTGTTCTATTCTAGAATCCCATGTTCTATTCTTAATCTGATTTGAGTCCTGTATGAAAATGGGATATATTACTAAAACTTCCCAGATGTCTTATACTTCTAAATCAATTTATCCATTATATTAAAATAAATTCCTTTGTCGCAGTCCCGTTGGAAGCTCCATCTCTCTGAACCTAAGGCACAATATAGGCACATACTTTAAAAAGACTTGAGATAAACTTGCATGTCTTTCACTTAAGCAGTATCTCTTGCTTTTTGGTGTTGAAGAGATATTTGATTTTAAATTTTGAGGCTTTGCCTTTTGGAATAAAAGTTCTTTGTGCTGTTGTTAGGGAAATCATGTGAGATAGGCATAGATAAATATTGTGGTATTTTCAAACTAGGGGCACAAAATGCCCAGTCCAGAGGTATTCTCTAGCATCGCATGCGTGTAACATCATTCTTTGATCGTATAAACATGGGCTCATAGGAAAAAAATTTACCACTTTGTATATCACCACTGTCCATATCTACAGATAGGACATAATGGAGGAAAATCAAAATAAGTTTAACTGATCTTTGGCTATGAAGTAGATATTATAATCTTCATTTACATGTGAGAAAACTGACTCTCAGAGTTTAAGTAACTTGCCTAAGGCCTTTGGTAAGAGGAAGATAAGTCTGACTGGTTCTAAATCCCACATGTGTGTCCTGCTTCTTCATGTCAGTCAAATAGCTAGTTTTATTTTATTATTCCCTCTTCCACCAAGCCTAGTGGATCAAGTCAATGAGCTGTTTGTGCGTTCCCACCCTAATATTCTAGGAGAGACCACTGGATCAGAGGGTCCAAACTTGTACCCTGCCATGCACTGTAACGTGTAGTCTTAGGCAAGTTACCTGCTTTTTCTAAACTTTAGTTTCCATATGTGTTAAATGAGGACAATAGTACCCATTTCACATGGCATTTGTGAAGTCAGTTGTGAGAAAGATGTTAGTTCCCTTCTCATCTTCCCTATCCCTTTGCGAGCTTCTGTTTCCTTATGAAGTGAGTAGAATAATGTCTTCCTGCTTCTTCACCAGGTTAGTGTGAGGTGAATCAAGATAATGTGAAAATGAAAAAAAGATAATGTGAATGTGAAAATGTTTTGCAAAATAAGAAACTGCTATATAGATATGAGTGTTTATGATTATTTATAAATAAATATACCTTCGTACTTAAGAGTAATTTTTGTCTATTTCATTTACAGACACTAACATTGCAGTTTGCTGAACCTGGTGTCCACTGACCATTCCAAGAGCTATTATCTGAGGTAAGAGGAGATTGTCTTCATATTTATGAAATTCTAATGGGCATCTTAGTCAATAATGTTTAAGGTAGATTTCACTCCCAACAGAAGAAACACAAAGGTATTTTATGAGCACCGAAACCTGAAAAATGGCTAAGAGAGTGAATTGCTCTCTTTTTAATGTCTTCTTAATTTAATTTTTCCTTTCAATTCTTAGCTCTTAGGGTTGAACCAAAAGCACAAAAATATGAGCCACAGGGAAGATTCAGATTTAACCAGTATTTAAGTGTCCATATTATGCCATGTACTAGAATGTTCTTATTGATCGTCTTCTTGTATCCCAGCTAGCATGTGGCAGGAGGGTTTTCTCTCTAGTTTCTTGGTCCTTGAGTGCATTTTCACTACACCGATGTCAGAGTTATCTGACTCTGAAGGGGCCAAACATTACCAGTCTGTTCCATCACTGTCTCTTAGCTGTTCAAAAAAACATCTCAAAAAGACATAATCCAAGGCTACAACCTAAGAATAAGAAAATGAGTTAGAGTTTTTTGAAACTCAGGACCCATAATAATCTGCATTTCACTCTCCTGGGGGATCATTGTGAAAGAGATCAGCCTTTTGGAGAAGAATGCATTCTTCTCCAGTTTGTCAAGAAAATGGAGGCCAGAAAAAAAATTGAAGGAAGCATGCTAGTTGTAAAATTTGCAAAATGTGAGTTTTCTGTTACAGCTAACCAGCTGATGTCTACACTTCCCAGTTAGCTCTGCTATGTAATATGATATCTTTTAGAAGTCTTAGGAAGAAAGAGGTAAAGTAGAAAATACGGTGTTCTCGTAGAATAACTTTGCGGAAGATTTCATATCAACATAAACATAATGCAAACATTTGTTCTGCTGAATATTTTAATAATTCCTTTGGTATGTTATTTCCATGATCTTGAACTTGTAAACATGACTTTAGTTACACAAACCTTTGAAAGAATTGAAGTTCATTGGAAGTGCCCCATATTTGTAGGAGTTAGAAATTTAGAATTAAATGGAAATTATGGTGTTGCATTAATACGGTTTTCAAAGTTAATATTCCCCATACACACTGAATAAAAACACGTCTTGTGCAAACAAGGTGGGTGATGTATGGACTGCGAAACTCCTCTATAATTAGATCAGACACAGCAGCCACCGGTGGTGTTTAGATTTTATTCTCATGACTACAAAAGAGAAGGTTACAAGAAAATTAGTGGCTAAAAATACAGGAATGGCTCCTGCCTGTCATTTGGTCCCTCTCTAGTTCATAAAATGCCCCTGCAAAAGATACCTTTCTAATGTATTTTATGTATTTTCATGGATAAACATATCAGAAAAGAATGTACTGTAGACATGTAGTTTCACAGTTTTTAATAGCTCTGTTAAGCAGAGATCTAACTCGTTCATTTAGAAACTGCAATTATTATATTAATTTTTCTCCAAATGCTCATGTTAAATATTAATAGAATAAACTTTGAAAAGTGGTTAACTATGCCCCCGCCCCCCGCCACCGAAACCCATCTTGAAACTACAAAGAAGAGTTTAAGCAAGGCTTGAAAAATTCATAAAAAATTACTCTTGAGAAAGAGAGATTTCTTATCTATCTAGATCTATCTATCTATCATCTATCTATCTATCTATCTATCTATCTATCTATCTATCTATCTATCTATCTATCATCTATCAATCATCTATCTAATCTATCTTTACCTGTCTGTCTATCTATCATCTATCTATCCTCTATATTTTGCAGGTGGGGGCTGGTGGGGAGAGAAGGATAAAAACTTCTCAAATAATATTTGGAAGGTGGAGAGGTAAATATTCTGGGGACATGCTGTAGAATTTAAAATAATCTTATGGTAATAATTGGTATCAGTGGCAGTAATGAAGAAAGAATAACAGTTTAAATAAATAATTAGACTTGACAGTAGATGTGTCAACAGGTACCCACATAATGAGTGTAATCATTGTTTTTCTCTGCTCTCAATGTTGATCCACTGACTGTGGTGTGTTCCCTGACCCATTTCCAAACCAAATCTATTTAAAGCTGCACTTCATGGAATCTGAAATGGTATACCCTGTTTACTATTTAGAGCTGATACCCAATGTTCTTTAATAGGCAAGATCTGTACTTGAACAAGAACAGACTCTGGCCTCCTGTAGACCGTTGATTATTACTGTTTTCTACAGGGTAAGGGTGATTCATTCGTAAGGATGAATAACACCCAATTAATTCTCATGGACTTGTCTCTATGTTTATTAAAATTTGATGGAAGCAGCCTTAGTCTGCCTTAAGTCAAATTAACTAGTAATTGTTTTCTGAGGTGGAGGTAGTAGTTATAAATTAAATTAGTTATAAATTAAATTATTTTCTTAGTTACCTTGATAAGATATCATTATTTTAGGGAGTTGAGCAGTATGTTTTATATTATGGTATGTGAACCAGAAGTTGTGAGAATCTAATTCTAATCTCGGTTCTCTCTCTGTCACCTTGGGCAAATCACTTTCCTTCTCCAGGATCCATTTCGTCATCTAATGACAGATGGAGTAGGACCAGTTGATCATGGCATTACTTCTAGTCAAATCTTCTATTACCTGTGATTTTATTTCTTAGCCAGTCCTTTCTCTCTCCTGCTGCCACCTTTCCAAAATCATGGCGAAGTCCTATGACTCTATGACAGAGCCTACGTAAAAAGCTATTCTTCTTTTTAGCTTTTGATTCTCTTATATACCGGAAGAGCAGTAAGCGATTTGAATTATACATACACTATGATTGGGCATTTATGCATTTGTCATTCCCTACCTTCAGCAACATTTAGTTTCTGGTTAGAAAGGAAAAAAAAAATCTATCTTCTCCCTATATTTCTCTACTCCATTATTTGGGTCTTAATTTTAGAGTATCTGGTGAACTTATTCACTGTTAACATCAGTCGGTTCCTTTTCTGTTCTGTTGTTTGACTTTTCCAGGTTAAGTCATTGACCTGTAAGGAGAGGTTAGAATGTCAGAACCAGAGGAAACTTTAAGAATCAATCTAGCCAAATTCTCTCATTTCAAAGATGGAGATTTTCGGGGTCAGGGAGGGAATCCAGTTTGTCTAAGGTATGATTAGTTGTAGATCCTGGACTAGAATTCTTTTGACTCCATAGTCTTATCTCTGTTTTAGGAGAGAAATCTTTTTTTCTATCAACTGCCCTTTCTCAACCCAATATTTAAAGGACCATTGTCTTTCAGGTAAAACCAGTGTCAGCACAGGGATGTGAGATGTCCTTAAAACAGAAACAGACTCTAGGCATCTCCATTAATCCAGAGGGGCAGTGGAATAGAGAATTCTGGCAGATTTCTGCTCTGTGTTGACTAGGAGAATGTGGATTCCTCTGCAGTCCTTTCTGTAAGAGATTCCTTGACCCTGACATCGTCACCACTGTTTGCTTCACTGTCTCCTGCTCTTTTCTGATCCAACGAGTGATAGGAAGCTTAGGATGAGCTCCTCGTTGGCTGTTTACCAAGCATAGTAGGAACATTAATAAAAAGAAGACAGATGAATGATTAATAAGCAAGAGGACAGAAGAGTAATGGCCAACATGATGAAATCTGGTTCCAGGTCTGCAATTCCCAGTTGCTGTGCTACACAAGATTAATAATATCTCTCACTGTTTTAGACCTCTCTGCCTTGTTGTTGTGGGACTGGGTTGGGACTGAGAAGCAGCTGGAATGATCTTTGCCAAACTCATGTTTTCAGGACATTTCCAGGTCCAGAGAAGAGAGTAGTAATTATTAATTAGTTAGAGGATAACTTGGAGGTCACTGTATCTAAAGACTTATTTTGGTCTTCCTAATATTGAGACGCAGAGTGTGGAAGTTTTTTACTAAGTCCAAGGTTCGAATTCTGGCTCTAATTCTTTTGCTATGACTTTGGTGAAGGGATGATCTATCTTTGAACCTCGGTTTCTCTATCTATTAGATGGGAGAAGGAGGAGAGTACAATAGCTGAGGGGCAAAGCTTTTCCCAGCCCTGATTTTCATGAGTCTTTGATTTGCCCCAGGTCCCATAGCAAGTTTGCAGCCAAAGCTGGTCTTGAATTCAAACCCCGTTTCTCTGGTTTGGAAGGTATTCCGATAAATTCCACTGCCCATACGTTTTATAAACCATGTTTGCATCTCTCAGCCTTGTTTTATTAAATAACCTTGTTTTCCTCTTGGTTGATAGGTCCTTTTCTGTCAAGAAACTTGCCTAACACCATTGTTCTTAGTTTGTGTGTATGTATGTGTGTATGCGTGTGTGTTCAGTAGTAGGGGAGTGAATTATAAGATATTTGGAAGCTCATATTTGAATCTATTAAATAGAAAATATTCATGTGCATAGAATAGTGTCTGTAATTTCGAGAGTTTTGTAGACCTTCTGAAGAACATACGAATGTTCTAAGTTAAGCAGAAGAAGATTTTCAATGTAGGAAGTCGAAGGTGGCATTTGGGTAACATACATTTCCTGTCGTTCTGGGATTTTTTCCCCACAGTTCACCTATATGTTCTACTCTGGGTGTCACCATATTTATGAGCGTGATTCTGGACTTTTATATGTCTCAAACTGTTGAGATTTAATATTGAGACTTCTATTCTGATTGCTTTATTTGTTCATTCATCCACTCAATCAAATTACTTCTAATGTAGAATCTGTTAAATGCTAGCCATTTTAATACAATATTTCATTCAATCTCATAAAATAGAAAACTATTTTTTCCCATTTTTAATATGCAGCAATTGAGATCAGAAAGGTTGAGTAATTTGCTCAAAGTCATAAAGCTCATAAGTAGCACAGTCTGTATATAAATCTAGATCTGCTCCAAAATAGGTGAGTACCTTGAGATAATACTGAATATGAATAGGAACAATGAAACAATTCTATAAGCCTTAGAAATCAATTATATTATAATTAATTAACTAATTAATTAAATGCTTATCTGGCACCTTAAAGCAGAATAAGAAATGTTGGATGATCGTGC